GGACGAGGCGGCAGGAAAAATCATTGCAGAATTCATCGCGTTGAAACCAAAGCTCTACTCGTTGAAATATGCAGTTTATTGTTGAAAAAAGCACCTCTCCAAATCCCCTCCATTTCTTTACATTAAGGGTTCCCTCTATTGGGGTTTTGGATCTTGTTGGGACCAAATTAATATTTTTTGTTGACCCCTGTCAATTTAATTAGACATAACTAGCCCTGAAAGGCTCTGATTCTTCATTTAAAAACTTAAAATGGAGAACCATTCATCATTTAAAATGTTTTAAGCAAATACTCACCACAAACGCACTTTTGTATTTTTTGACGTGAACTAATTTAAAATTTTGACATGGAATGAGTTTTTGATAATGACACGATTTGGAACTTTTATGATTTGGAATGAATTAAGATACTTAAACTTTTTGGAATTGAAAAATTTGGAATGTTATTAGACTTTGAGTCTTCAAAATATTCAGATTTGGGAACCGTTTTCGTTATTAATACTAGAACTGGGCTTGCGAATTTTTATGGGCTTACAAAGCTAAAATATGTTTATGGGCTAATTTTTGTTCTTCATTTAGATTCAACTAGCAAGAGGAGTGCAAAAGGAGTAGTGCAACACTCCCAGCAGCAACTTACACACCAGAGGTTCAGGGAAACATTACTGAGTGGAAAAACCCTTCGTATATACAACTACTCAATAAAATCGAAAGCCCATACCAACATAACCATAGCGCAGAACCGAATTGCCCTTTCACCCTTCGATAGTAAGCGGTTCTTACTATTCGACGGGATAGCTACATTGCCCTTTGGACACAGGTCTACAGAAGAAAATGTGTTCTTCGAGGCCATTGCGGAAGAAAGCGAGTGGGCAAACTCACAGTTGACAAATACGCCGACTTATAGCAGCGAAAGCAGCGAAAGCAGCGAAAGCAGCGAAAGCTGGCAATCACCGAAATTCCGGGTCCCAGATTGGGGCTTTTTTCAAGAAAGCTATACGGAGGAAGAGCTTCAAGAAGAAAGCGCAGCTAGCAGTTCAAGAGACCCTCCGCCTATCAATAACCCATTCATTCTAACAGAAGCGTCTGTTCGTTCTAGTCAGAAAAAAAAGTACAAAACATGATAAAATTGATCAAAAAAATTTTTCACTTGAAAATGTCGGCTAAATTGCCTTGTTACTTGGAATTACGGTTGTACATTTTTAAATATAAAACATTCAACAAACATTGTTTGAAGTTAAATAGACCGGCGCAAAAGAGATGGTAATTGCAACTTACCCTTGAAGCAGAAGCGAACGATTGCGTATTTAGTTTCCCAAAGTAAGCTAATAGTAAGGCTAAACGAATCAAAATGGTGCAAGTCGAAAATAAGGGAGACTTGGAAATAAGTTTGAAAATAAAATAAGAAAGAGAAACGAACAATAATTACCAAAAAATTTTAAAAGGAAATATGAATGGTACTTTATGTAAACTCATATTCATATGAACGAAAAGGATTAGCTTTTAGATAAAAATAAGCGAGAAAACCGCAGCCGGGTATACCCATACTTTTTTAGTGGTGGGAAAGTTTAGAAGTGATTAAATTTAACCACCGCGCGAAAATAAATACCAAAGTATTTTGTCTGACGGGTGTCCTAAGAGAGGGGTCTTTTTATTTCGGGCAGGGTCTTTGGGGTCTTTATAAAAGATGGGTCCTTTTGGACCCTACTTTTGGTAGGACCCCAAAGACCCCTACCGTCGAAAAGACCCCCCCCCCTAAGGACACACGGCGGATTACAATACTACTGATACTGACAATTTTTACAGATGTTGACTGCGTTTGGGTTGAAACTTAACCGGGAATGGCTATGCACGATTGAGATACACGCTACTGTGACGCGGGCGAAAAAAAATTTTCAAAGCGTGGTGCAGAGATTTAGCAGCTGGTATGAACATTAGTATATTCAAACCAAGTTTTCTAATTGGAGGGAATCAAGCAAATCGCGGCCTGACTACTCGCAACACCATGAGCTAACAAGTTTGTACAAAAAGCAAGACGACCTGCTTGATAATACGCTACGGGGGCTATCCTATGGCTGTTTTCCTTCAATTCAACTAGTTTAGTTAGCTACACCACGTTTCAAGAGAAATCAGTGCATTTTTCTTGAAACTTTTGGAAGTTTTAGTTTTTTTTTGGGTAAATTTTCTAAAAACTTTTTCCGAAACTTTTTCAACGTTTTCATCCGACGCTTCAAAATCCAATAATAACCTTATGCGTTTCCGACATTATGCGTTTGCGACAATTTATCTTGGGTTCCAAAAAGAGTAATCAGGTCTTTGCTGCTATATCCCGCTTTTGTTTTTACTTCAAGCTTTACCATTTAGATGTTTACAATCGAACTGGTTCTAAATATCTAGCTCTTAATTGTTACTGTACACATGAGCGTTCACAGCCAAACAAATAAGGATTTCCGCTCACAAACTGGCGGAATCTATTATGAATGCGGACAACATGCTGTAATTTTGGTCGCTCAATGCGGATTTTACGGACACATTTAACGTGCCGAAAAAACTTACCTTTCAAGGTTTTTGTATTTGGATAGTGGAATATATTAACCATTTGCTGTTTAAATATACTCCTATCTTTCAATCTCAAAAACATGTATCCTTGAACTTTTACGTAAAAACCCAACTACTCAAATATGAGAATATTAAATTGATAACATGTTTAAAGAAGTGTCTCTGGTTCCCAATTAGCTAAATGACCGAACGACGCGTGCTTCGGGCGAAACATTTGAATATATGATTTTATACTCAAAAATTTTAGGAAACATTGTGTTTTTGAGATTATAAAATAGTGTATTTAAAAAGAAAAAATTTGAACATGAGTATACGCGTCGAAGTGGTCAAGGTATAGACTAATTAATGAATAAATTATGAAGTTTTACTAAATAAAAAAATAGATGATTGACTGTCTATCATACATAATCTTTGACAAAGACTTGATTTTTTGTCGAAGTCTGCAGGTTACGAGAAAGATTTTTGAAAGATAATGTTCTTCTCAAACGAATGGTTTTCTTTTAAAAGAATTCTTTTGTATAATTTTAGTGTCTGAACTGTATTCGATCCGATTTCGTTCTGAAGTTTGTGGAGCCTCTGGTGATTTACTTGCCGCTGCTTATTTTGTCTGGAGTTTTTTACTGGAAAACTGTTCAAGCTCTAAAGAGAACGAAGGAAAACGACCGAAAAGGGATCGATTTAAGACATTTCCCCTAATTTGGCAATTCCATGGCTTAATTTGGATCAAAAAGGAGCCTTGTTTTTAAAATGATCTATTTTGATTGGCCGGATTTAAAAAAACCCACGTTTAGATTTTTGCCCCTAACCTCTTTCAGGGGCCAAATATATTAACTTGATCCCTGAAAGACATTCTGGTGAAATCTTTTTATGGCTTATGGATAGGATGGGCAGTTTGTGTGCTGCCTTATACTTTAAGAACTGCTCTGTATTCTGTTTTTGAATGGGATTATTATGTAGGGCGCGTCCAGATTTTTCAATCAAACTTTGCCTCTCATTTATCTTTGTTAGGTGATTAAATAATATAACTTCGATAGATTCCTTTTAGCAGAACGTTTCGACTTCTGAATAAAGTTTTTTGAATAAATATTTTATCGAATTCAAGAAAATCACGAGCCCAGTAACAAATTTGCCATCATACTTTTACAGTAAAATAAGTTAAAATGAAGCTATCTAGAAACTCTGCCCGGAAAAAACTGTTTCAAAATACAATTAATTTGTTTAAAATTACATTTAAACCGTAAAATTACACTTAAAATGTATAAAAATACATTGAAAATGTTCAAAAATACATTTAAATTGTTTTAAATTACATTTAAAATGTTTAAAAAAAGTTTTAAAATGTTTCAAATTACTTTTAAAATGTTTAAAATTCCATTTCAAATGTTTAAAATTACATTGAAAATGTTCAAAAGTACATTTAAAATTTTTCAAAAATACATTAAATTGTTTTAAATTGCATTTGAAAATTATTTTAAAGAACATTCAAAATATTTAGAATTACTGACGCAGTTAGAAAATTAAATTTGTGTTAGCTAATTCTTGAGATGAGGTTGAGTTTGATTCAAATTAAACCTCCTTTAGCTGATCTAGAAGTAAGGAGGTGATCGTTGCTTTTTTTAGCACTCTTTTAAGACATTCACTTTCAGTCAACCGACCTTGTTCAATATGAACCGACATTGAGGAGAGAGAGAGAGAGAGAGTGCGCAAAAAAACGTCATATTTGGCTTGTTTTTCTATCAGAAAAATATCTCTGGCTTACAAATTTTGAAAAAAAAGTTTGGTTGATCTAAAAAAAAATTACCTTATAAAAGTCCGACCCTCCTCGAAAAAACTCTAAGACGGCCCCTGCCTAAAAACAGACGTTTTCTGCGGATATTTAGTAGAATTTTGTATTGTTGAGAAATTGTGAACGTAGTAACTAAAACTGATTTTTGCTGGTGCTTTAATTTTTGCTTGGAAAAATTTATGCAGACTTTAATCCTCTGACTTGGACTATTGCCATTTGTATTTTATTTTTTTTATTTTGAAGCCAGAAACAAACTAAATTCATAAAAATTGAGCCGAATAATAAAAATTATATTCGGCTAGGGAGAATACCAAAAACGAATCAAACTATCATGTGGCATAATCTCTTTCAATTGCCAGACAAAGACAGCCAGTTGCTCTAAACACACAAAAAAAATAACAACAAAAAAAAATTTCAAAAGGTACAAACGCTTTTGTTTTTTGGTCCGACCAGTGAAAATGGCGAGGACTTTGTATTCGGGTGTGTTTTAGTTTTTTTGTTTTCCAAGCAAAATCAGGTTCCACAAATTCTCATTAGACTGGGTTGAGTGATATATCATACTCAAGCTTTTCAAGTCGTGATTCGAACAACATTAATGACTAGAAAAACCGGATCGGAAATTTTGATTTCTGATTTCATTTTGATCAAAAAACGGCGAGCTACCAGGCTTAAAATAGCTTTTGTATGCTTAAATTCAGCTGCAAAAACTTTATTTTAGTCAAGTGCGAATATAAACTTTGCGAATATAACCTGTCAAATGCTGCAAAAAAATTTGTGAAAAACTTCGAAATTTTAAAAAAATTTATATTTTTCGTTTTTCTAATCATTTTTCTAACAAAACTGTAATCCAATTTGGCTGACGATTGTGCTCAGGTTATTTTTTCTTTCTGTTCTTTTTATCACCTCATAAAAAAAAGTAATTTAAAAAAAAACTTTTTGTATTGTTTTTCAAATCAGAACCCAAACTGCGGCCAAAAAATCTCATTATGCTAGCACATTATACTTTTTGTCTTGGACTTAAATCTATTTTTTTCATCAATTGTTTATGTTTTGTCACCATGACTCTCGCCAAAACTTGCCGTGAACTTTTTTTTTATTGAACTCACTAAAATTTTTATACTCTCTTTCTCTCTCTCTCTCTCTCTCTCTCTATCTCTAAATGTTTTCTCAAGTGTATATGAAGAAACTGGTCTTCAGCAATTGCAATCTTGTAAAAGTCAGCTTTATGAATTGATTTTTTACTTGCCTCAAACGGGCTCAAGTGACACAATTTAAACAATTGTACAATCAACTTACCAAAATTAGTTCCGGTTGCAAAAGTTTTGGGGTTTCTTGTAAGAAAACTACGAGAGATTAAATTTGAGGAAATAAATTTTAGAAATTACTTTAACTAAACTGTTTAGGTTTTTCACAATTCAATTAATATGAGAAATGAAATCAAAATATCAAATCAAAAAAAAACTTCTTGCATTATAGAAAAACTTACAAAGTACATTATAAGAAAACTCACAGTATAAAAACTCTCATTCAATAACAATATTTTTGGCAGTTTTTTAAAATAGTTATTTCATGTCGGTAAATGTTGTAAGTTAAACGCTTTAAATTACCTGATTTTTGGGGAACAACCAAAAGTTAGAGCAATTAATTTTTGCCAGTTGATTGTTTGATGCAAAAAATCAAAAAAATCAATTGAAGGACCTGCTGACTAATAATTGAGACCAAATGTCGCAAAAGTGTTTTTCTTTATTGCAAACTCAATCTTTCAAAAGACTTGTCTGA